ATTCTTGAAATTTGATTATATTAGAACAAGAAATGTCATTTTATAGTGTTTTTTGCAAGGGAAAACGGATTACAACAAAACAACCGGATCTTGATCACCTCGAATTACCTGAGGCTTCCTCACGAAAATGATGAAAATGTAGCTGCGGCCTAGGCGGGCGGGGGGGCGCGCACCAGGGGGCCCAACAATAATTATTCTTTAGAATTAATAATGTTCAACAACAACAACAACAACAATCATTTTACCCGAACGCGTGGTGTTCTCCCCAGTGCCAGGGTTTTCATACGACACCAGGCAATACCCCCACTTCGTGGGGGGGCATTACAAGCTCTACCAAATATCCAAACGACTCTTCGCGACCACCCAAACCCAGCTTCCCGCCCTATGACGTTGGGACACTTCACTTCGTGGCGTGCGGACGACCGTGGCTACTACACTGGCGTGGGGTACACACCCACAGAACTTGGTCACTTATTCGGGGTCACTTATTGGTCCTCTTGGGGAAGGGGGGAAGCCTCCTGGCGCCGCTTGGGGTCCGCGCAAGTAGCTCGCGCGAGCTCATGTACCTATGGCGCAACCGCAAGGGATTCTGGCCCCTGGCAGGCGCGCGAACCCCGTTGCAAGAGCGTGCGAAAGTAGCTCGCGCGAGCTCATGTAACATAAATGTTGGAAAACCATTGGTTTTTTTAGGATTCGGACAGCGCGCGCGGGTGGAAATTTTGAAAAGTCGTGCAGGTGTTTTTCGAGGACCTACGGTGCGATTCGTGTGATTTTATGATGCGCGGTGCTAGAATTCTTAAAAACCCAATGGTTTTTGGAGATTTCGGCGTGCGCGCGCGAAGAAAAAACGAATGTGTCCCGCATGGTATTATTTGACAGGGATGATGGCCCTGGCAGGTGCGCAACCGTTGTCGCAGAAGTTCGAAAAAGTTGCTCGCAAAAGCCCGTTTGACAGAAATGTTTAAAAAGTGTTGGGTTTCCTACGAATCCGCAAGAGCGCGCGGGATGAGATTTTGACATTTTTTTGTTGAAAAACCATTGGTTTTTTGATGTTTTTATGTTAAAATCGCTCCGAACACTAAGCTTTTGGAAGGATTTCGTCTTGCGCGCGCGAATGTCCACTTTACCTTATTTTTTGCAAGGGATTCTTGAAATTTGATTATATTAGAACAAGAAATGTCATTTTATAGTGTTTTTTGCAAGGGAAAACGGATTACAACAAAACAACCGGATCTTGATCACATCGTATTACCTGAGGCTTCCTCACGAAAATGATGAAAATGTAGCTGCGGCCTAGGCGGCGCAGGGGGGCCGTGCACCAGGGGTCCCAACAATAATTATTCTTTAGAATTAATAATGTTCAAGGAACAACCGCGCGTGAGTATCCCAGGGAGGGAGGGAGAAGGGAGGAGGGAGAGGAGGGAGATGGGATGGGGCAGAGAGGCATAAGGATGAGGGAAGAGAGGAGGGAGAGATAAGGGAGGAGAGGAGGGAGGAGGGAGGAGGGAGGAGGGAGGAGGAGCAGGAAGGCAAGAGCGTGGACGTTCGAGGGAGTCCCAAGCGAAAGCGCCGTTCCTCAAGGAAGTCTCGGGCGGGAGCCCACAACGGGCGGGCGATCCCCTGACGGGCGGGTCGGGCGGGTGGGACATTCAAGCGGGATGCCTGAGTATGGATGGCGAGAGCGCGATTACTAAGTAGATTGTAGCGGCGTCCTTGGCGCAGCGTGTTTCCTTAGCGTCGAAAGCGCGATTTCGGAATACATTGCATGGAGGTCACAAGCGAGAGCGCAATTCCTGAATCAAATGTGAGGGGCTCTCTGGCGGGAGCGGGGGTCTTGATTAAATTGCGAGGAAGTCTTGACTGAATGGCGAGGAGGTCTCAGATGGGAGCGGGGGTCCTGACTAAATTGCGAGGAGGTCACAGGCGGGATCACCGATCCTGAGTAGATTGTGAGGAAGTCTCAGGAGAGGGGGTCCTGAGTAAATTTGGAGGAAGTCTCAGGCGGGAGCCGTTGTTGTTATAATCTGGGGGGGGCAGGGGCCCAGTTTGAGCAGGAAGATTTTCCCTGTGAGAAAACAAGGTGCGAGCGTCGAGGGGCACACTTTGATTGAGAAAAAACCGTATGCACCAGTGAGGGGGGGGTCAGCAATAATTATTCTTCAGAAATGAGAGTTCAACTACAACAACGACATAACAACAACAACAACAACAACAACAACAATCATTTAAGACTGGGGACACTCCGTTCTCACCAGTGCCAGGGTTTTCATAGGAGGCGGGCAATACCCCCACTTTGTGGGGGGGCCGGTTCAAGCTCTACCAAATTTCCAAACGACTCTTCGCCACCACCCACACCCAGCTTCCCGCCCTATGACGTTCGGACACTTCACTTCGTGGCATGCGGACGACCGTGGCTACTATTCAGGGCCCCGCGGCCGACGACGACGGCGTGCGCGCGCGAAGAAAAAACGAATGTGTCCCGCATGGTATTATTTGACAGGGATGATGGCCCTGGCAGGTGCGCAACCGTTGTCGCAGAAGTTCGAAAAAGTTGCTCGCAAAAGCCCGTTTGACAGAAATGTTTAAAAAGTGTTGGGTTTCCTACGAATCCGCAAGAGCGCGCGGGATGAGATTTTGACATTTTTTTGTTGAAAAACCATTGGTTTTTTGATGTTTTTATGTTAAAATCGCTCCGAACACTAAGCTTTTGGAAGGATTTCGTCTTGCGCGCGCGAATGTCCACTTTACCTTATTTTTTGCAAGGGATTCTTGAAATTTGATTATATTAGAACAAGAAATGTCATTTTATAGTGTTTTTTGCAAGGGAAAGCGGGGGGGAACAAAAAACCGGATCCGGTGACAATCCACTTGTCTGAAGCTTTCGCAGAAAAATGATGAAAATGTAGCTGCGGCCTAGGTTTTGGAGGGGGGTCGTGCACCAGGGGTCCCAACAATAATTATTCTTTAGAAGTAATAATGTTCAACAACAACAACAACAACAACAACAACAACAACAACGCAACGACAACAATCCGCACTGCAGAACCCCTCTTAAGCCACGCGCCCAGGGACAATGAATGATTGTTCGGCCCTCTCACCCTGATATGTTTATATATATACAGATGACTCTTTCGTTCATTATATAAATCATCCTCACAGTAATGCACAAACAGACTTACGAAGAGCAGTGATGCTATGGGATGGCGAAGAGATGCTGATGAGATGATGTAGAGTACTACCTCGTGACTGATACACTCTCTACGTTTGTCTGCTGGGGAACTACGAGGGACGACATGCTTTGGTGGAACACTACGCAAGTGATAAAAAACAACGCTGCGACTCATTCAGGCATCGGCCGGCTCGCAGCCGAATGTACAGTCTGATTTAATCAGCAGTCTCCAATGGCAGCGAAGTCGACGTACTCGCTACACCATGCGAACGTGATGGTTTCATACGTTCCGAACGCGTAGCACCAAACGTGCCTGGTATAAATGCGTACGGCGAGCGCTTGACCGGCGGTAATCATGTACTTTCAGGTTGGCATGTGCTTGGCACGGGGTGAGGAGCGCTACGCTGAATCAACACGGTACCGATGCTGCGCTAACCCAACTTTGAGACAGATTGCGCTTTGCCCGGATTCAGCGCTCTGCCAGCGGAAGCCCCTGACGTGTTGACCAAGGTCGATCCAATTTGATGGATGAGCAAGGCGGAGGCGGAGGAACATGGAGAAGCAAGACGGCGGAGAAGCTGAAGTGAAGCGATTGGGGGATAGTGGAGGATGAGGTGTGCCATCCTCAGCTCAGAGCAGAAGATGCTTGACAGACTCCTTCGCTCTCCTTCATCTGGGTCATAAGCATGTTGCGGATCTGCGAAACCATACACCTGATAAATACCAACATGGTGTGAGAGTCACCAGCCTGCATCTTATGCAATTCGTTAACGAACTCTTTGTGGTCGATGTCGCCAGTGCCGTTTTCGTCCATAATGAGGAAGATGGTGTCTAAATCATGAGCACAAATATCCATCGCTGTCATGATATCCATGAACTCCTCGTGAGTCTCGAAGGCCTTCTCCAGCTCCGCGTGCGTCAGGACGCCATTGCCATCCACGTCCAGCTCACTGAAGAGCTCCTGCAGGCGTTTTGCGTTCGCGGAGCGCTGCTCCCTCTTGACCCTCGCCACCGCATGGATGTCGTCCTTCCTGGCCTCCAGCGCGGTGTCCACTATGACCGCGAGTATCAGGTTCAAGATGGCAATGGTCACCGTGCTGTAGGCGAGGAAAAAATAAATGTAGGTCTCTGGGTAGGCCTCGATCACGGGCATGGCGATCTCACCCCAGCCGTCCTGGGCCACCAGGTCCTTGGTGAGCGTGACCACCGCATCGAAGACCGAACTGAAGGCGCCAGGGCAACGGGCGCAGCGGCTGTCGTACACGCCGGCCTCGGCCACCGCGGCGTTGCGAGGGTGGATGAAGTACACTCCAAAGACGGCCCAGACAAAGACCACCACGAGCACGAGCACCATGCCAAAGAACATGACCCTGAAGGCCCCCGCCAAACTCTTCAACATCAGCCTCAGCACGGGGAAGAAAAACATCAGCCGCAACAGACGGCCGACGCGCAGGAGCCGGATGATCTGGATCCAGCTGAGGCTCTCTGTCGAGGTGTCGACGAGCAGCGCCATGATCCAGAGCGCCGCGTCGCAAATGATGACGACAAGGTCCACGATGTTGTACAGATACCTGAAAAAGCGCCACTGGAAAACCACCAGCCGCGCGAGGATCTCCATGACGTAGACGATCCCCAATGCCCACTCCGACGCAACCGCCCACTGCGGCATGTCCTCACCGCTCGTCTTGCAGTCGGCCTCGACGACGAGGACGGCCATGCTGAAAACTATCAAGCACGCAAGGAGTCCGTTGAGGTAGTCTGACAGCAGAATCCGGCTCGCCTCCCTGAAGGGCCCAGGCACGACCTCGGGCTTGTACAAAAACTCGTCCTCTTCGAACACGCCGAACTCTGATTTCGTGGCGCTGTGCTGAAGCATCCTCGCGTTGATGGCGTTGGCGAGCGGGTGGCCCAGTGACGAACGGCGCCGCAAGTCGGGCGACGTCCCCATGGAGGCGCTGTGGAAGCTGGGCGCCGTCCGTTCCCAGAAAGCGCTGTTCGTGCTCGCCCACGGCGGCAGGGAACCCAGCGAGGCCGCCTCTAGTTGGCACATCGGAAGCATACCGCCACCTACCGTCGAACTCCCTGAATCAATGGGAGGCGGGAGTGAGGTTCGGATTTTGCTACGTGTTCGACGAACTCTGAAGCCTAACCCCGCCGCCTACCAAGACTCCCGACATCATGTTATCCTTCTGTTTTCATAACGTCGAGACCCAGAGGTCTCGAACCACTCGGTGAGACTGATTTCTCATCCTGGATATTTCTTCGACGGCCCCGAGGCCGAGTAAGGGCCCCCAGATGCTGAAAATTAGGATATACCACTCGCAGTGATTTCTTTATGACTCGAGGGGGCCTGGGTATCGAGCTGCCTGAATCGTTGATCGGCGAGGCTGGGTCTCGCGTTTTGTCGGGAATCTACTGACAGGCTTTGCAGGATCCGGCAACGTCCTGCAGGATCCTGCAGGCTCCTGCAGGATCCTGCGCCCTTCCCCTCAGTGCAACCCTGGCTCTGCAAGATCTTGCAAGACTGCAGGATCCTGCAAGATCCGGCGCTCGGACTCACCCCCGTTCGCATAGACCCCCGTCCCTCGAGCCCCGATTTTGCCCCCGCTCGAGCCTCGGCGCCGGCGCCCGCGGGTCCTCCTGCTGCGCCGACGGGTGCGTCGACTGCCACCACGCGCCCGCGGTCGCGCTCGCCGCCGCCACGCGGTCCCGCGGCAGCCCTGCTCAGCAGCACGCTTGGCGACTGCTGTGCGACCACACACCCAGAGTCTTTGTGCGCCGGCGAGTACGGCGCACCCAGGACGTAGCGTGCGATGACCTTCGCTGGCAACTCATGGGAGCCTCCCGTGCCATCTTGCCGGCTCTTGCGAATCGACGCTGGCCGACGCTAATCGACGCTAGTCGACGCTAGTCGCGGCTAGCGGACGCCAAATCGACCATAACAGACGCTAGATCGAAGCGACTCGACGCTAAACCGACGCGAATCCACGCTAACCCAGACTAGATCTGCGCTCTCTCATCGGTTACCAATCGCTGGCGCACGCTACACTCTAAAGTTATGTTGCGCCCACCGTACTTGAGGACCACATCCCAGAAGTAATTTCGAGCACCCAGAGAAGTATCGAAGCAGTGTCGAACGAGAATCGCCTCCGAGGGCCCGACACGTGACAACCTTCAAACGTCGGTACCGTCCTGGCGAAACTCTTCCTGGTGGGCAAAGCTAAAGTAGGCTGGAACGTCATAACTCTAAAGACGGAACTGCGAGTACATACAAGGCCTCCATGGTTTGCTACCGAAAGCGACCGGCCCTGGCGGAGGCAGCGCGGTGGCGCCTGGGACTGGCCGCAGACCGCGGGCCCCATGGCTCTCCGCGGGCCCCGGCCCAACCACCGGGAAGTCTCGCTCAGCCATGGGGCGCCTGACGCCAAACGGCTGCGGAACGTTCGGGTTGGCAACTCGTGCGCGTGTGGTTGGCAACCTTCCCGATCGAGCGAGAGGAGCGGGCAACAACTGAAGCCTAGCTTTCGAAGCCCTGGCCAGGTGCACCTACAACACAAACAATTCGCCAGATTATCTGACACTGTGACTCCTAAAAAACCGTGGCGGTTCACACGTTTCTTCAAACAGCTCGTCCGTCAAATTCTTCGCTTTGCACACCAGATTCGGGAGCGGCAAAGAGGGGGGCGACCAAGAGGGGGGGGGGGGGGGGGGCAAATCATGGCGGGGGCATGTGCGCGGCCCAGGAGGGGGGGGGCCAGGGACGTAAGGAAATAAGAAGAGGCGCCATGACATCTGAGGAAATACCATGGCCCCCGCCATGGTATCCCCCCCTCGGGGCCCTGGTCCTCACCCACTTCTTGGCCGCCCCCGACACATACGTAAGACGACAGATCTGGAGTCGGCTGGGCGACGTTGTCTCCCATTGACCCCCGTTGTCTCCCCTTCTCTCCCGATGCCTCCCTTGGTCTCCCGTTGCGCTCCGCTGCCTCCCGCTGGCTTCCCGTCGTCTCCCGTCGTCTCCCGTCGCCTCCCGTCTCGTCTCCCTCCCGGCGTCTCCCAATGTCTTCGGCTGCTGCCCGCCGCGGATCTGCGCGCCGTGGTCCGTGTCTGCGTTTCCTCGCCCTTGGGTGGGGGGTGCAGATGCAGAGACCCGCACGGGGGGGGGAAGTGGGTGCGGGGTGCCTGGCGCAGCTTCTGCCGGAGACGGGCAGACGCTGCCGATGCGCACGGGGCAACCCGCGGGGCCTCGACTCCAGGCACCCCGGCACGAGCGCTGGCGGCCCGGCAATCTCCGCATCCTCCTCTGGTCCGTGCTTTTTCACACTCTGGGCCCCCCTGGTCGTGCGCCCCTCCTCATCATTGGCATCCTCCTCTTCCGCCTTCGCCTCTGTCCTCATCCTCCTCTTCCTCCTTCTCCCCCCCTCCTCCTCCTCCTCTTCCTCCTCCTCGCCCTAGGTATCCTTCCTTCCTCCTTCTCCTCTTCCTCCTCCTCCTCGTCCTTCTCCTCCTCCTCCTCCTCCTCCTCCTCCTCATCGTCCTCCTCCTCATCCTCCTCCTGCTCTTCCTCCTCCCCCTACTCCGCGTCGTCGCCGTCCTCGTCACCATCCTCCCCCTCCTCCCTCCGCAACCTCGCTTCCTGCTCCTCCTTCTCATTCTCCCCCTCGTCCTCCTTCTCCTCCTCCTTCTCGTCCTCCTTATCGTTCTGCCTCGTCGTCGTCGTCGTCGTCGTCGTCGTCGTCGTCGTCGTCATGGCCGTGGTCGTGGTCGTGATCGTGGTCGTGATCTTGGTCGTGATCGTGGTCGTGGCCGTGGTCGTGGTCGTGGTCGTGGTCGTGGCCGTGGTCGTGGTCGTGGTCGTGGTCTTGGTCGTGGTCGTGGTCGTGGTCGTGGTCGTCGTGGTCGTGGTCGTCGTCGTCGTCGTCGTCGTCGTCGTCGTCGTCCGTCGTCCGTCGTCGTCGTCGTCGTCGTCGTCGTCGTCGTCGTCGTCGTCGTCGTCGTCGTCGTCGTCGTCGTCGTCGTCGTCGTCGTCGTCGTCCCCCCCCCCGCTCCTCCTGCTGCCCTGGCCCTCCTCGCGCGCGAGCCTCTATGCACTGCAGGCCGAAGCGCTCCTCGAGCATGGGGCCGTCGATGATCCAGTCCTCGGCGCGAGCACGCACCGCCGGCGAAGGGGGTTCGGGCGAGAGGCCCGTCAGCAGCGCCTGGGGGGGAGACCTCTGGTTTGGGGGAGGGAGAAGGGTGTGCTTCTCGGGCCCTAAAAGCCTCCTTTTGGTTTCTAGAGGGCCCCTTCAAGGGCCCCAGAGGGTCCGTTATCTGCAGCCCTCGCTGCTCGCTGCCCCCCTCATCTGAAAGTCACCCCATGACGCGAAGCCCAATCCGGGCCCAAAGAGGGGCTAGCCGGGTCGGACGGAACTGGCGGCGAGCGCGACGAGACGACGACGACGCCGCCGACGCCGACGACGATACCGTGACAAAAAAGCGCCGGCCCTACATCTGTAGACAAGGCCCGCGCCTTCAAGACGCAGGGGTGCTTCCAAGAAACCTTCCCCCCTCCCCCTACCCCACTTCTGCACGTGGCTGACGAAAGGGGTGGTCCCAGACCTTCAATGTGTTTTTGAAGGGTGAGACGGAGGCGGACACCGAACGATCCGCTGCCCCTCCAGGGGGCCATCGTCGCAACAGAAGTGCTCTGTAGTGGCCGGCGGGGTGAACGTCACCACAGTCGCCGCCCGAGGGGGCTATCGGTCCCAGATCTTCAGTGTATGCAAATTTGAATGCGGACGTTTTTCGTCGTGCTCGGCCTCTAGAGTCTAGAGGCCCTCGCTGGGCCCCGGGGCCGTGAACAAACACGACTCAGGATGAAACGCCGATCCCGGGGGATGGGTCGAGTCTTTCCCGAGGACCCCGTATTGAACAAAGATCATAGCATCGGATCGCTGGGTGAGGCAGGTTAAACGAAGTGGGGTTTTCGCTGAGGAGATCGACCAGGAACCCGGGTGGCCAGGAACACAAAACCCACCGAGATCGGCCCGGAACCAATAACCAGGAACCCCGGGAACCCGGAACCGGGAACCCGGGAACCCAGCCTGCATGCTACCAGAATCGACGGGAAACTTTCGCTCAATTTTTCAACTTCCGCTAGGACCCCTTCGGCTACACGTAAGAGTGACCCTGGGTAAGAGTGACCTTTGTTGCGCGGCTTTCGGGGAGCTGCGGGGGGGCCAACCCCAATCGCGCAAGACACTAATGCCGCATCGCCGGACCCCAATGGGCCCGCACCAAAGGTCACTCCGGCGAGAAGTCACTCTTACGTATGTATAGTCGACCCCTTCAGTGCAAACACTGATTGGGGAAAAACGCGGCCGGTCCAGATTGGTGAGCCGGCACGTGTTCGCCTCCACGACGCCGGCCACGGCCAGGCAGGCCACGCTGGGGCGCACCTGCGACGCCGAGGGGGCGCGCCGCTCCCCGCCGGCGACTCGGCACAGCACTGCCCCCCCCCTCCTCCCTCTCCCCCTCCTCCACCTCCTCCTCCCCCTCCTCCTCCTTCCTCCTCCTCCTCCCCCTCCTCCTCCTACCCCTCCTCCTCCTACCCCTCCTCCTCCTACCCCCTCCTCCTCCTCCTCCTCTCCTCCACCTCCCTCCTCCTCCTCCTCCTCCTCCTCCTCCTCCTCCTCCTCCTCCTCCTCCTCCTCCTCCTCCAGGGCTAGGGCGCCGTGTTTTGCGGACGTTTCGTGCCCTCGGGGGCTCTCGTAAGGGTCTCGGGAAGCAACGGAGGGCGCGAAACGTCCGCAAAACACGGCGCCCAAGCGATCCCCGAGGCGTCAGACAGGGCTAGGGCGCCGTGTTTTGCGGACGTTTCGCGGGATAAGGAATCCAGGGTCTGGGAGCCAAAGGAACTCCAATCGTGGTTGGCCATGGATATTACCACCGCCCTCATCAAATGAGGAATCCTCCAAGGTCTGAGCCCCTGCTGGGCACATTCCTTAACCCATGCCACCATGGTACAGTCGGACCTAGGACAGAAGAGCATCCATCAAGAGCATGAGGCCCTCTGGCAGCCAAAACAAGCAGAACATCCAGGGACACCCTCCCCAGGGGGCACACGAACGTCCAACAAGCGCGAACGTCCAACAAGCCCGCCTCCTTGCGCTCGTCCTGCCTCCGGACGCTGCTGACTTGCACAAGGAGGACGCCCCTCGGGAGGTCCCCCTCAGGGGGTCCTCCAAGGGCCTCCGACTGTAAGCGGAAACCCTCAGAGGCCTCTGGAGGCCCAAGAGCGGCCACAGATGCAGAACAAACAAACATCGATCCTCGAGGGGGGAAGGAGGAGGAGGAGGAGGAGGAGGAGGAGGGAGGAGGAGGAGGAGGAGGAGAGGAGGAGAGGAGGAGGAGGAGGAGGAGGAGGAGGACGAGGATGACGAGGAGGAGGAGGAGGAGGAGGAGGAGGAGGAGGAGTGAGGGAGTGAGGGCGCCTCGCTGGTGACGAGCCCCTCCTCGGCGGCGTCCTTCATGAACGCCTGGGCCGCCCGTTCGCAGTGGCGCACCAGGAGCAGGAGGACCAGGGAGAGAGGAGGAGGACAAGCACCCCTCTCGCCTGCCCCTCCCCTCCCCTCCCCTGCGCCCCTCTCCCCCTCTCTGCTCTCTATCTCTCCTCCCCTCCCCTCCGCCCCTCCGTCTCCGCACCGATGGGTGCTCGATGTGCCGCCCCTCGCACCACCTCCTGGGGAAGCCACAAGGTACCGATGCCGATACTCTCTGGACCTCTCCTGGGGTGCGTTCGGAACAGGATTTCGAGGCGAGTCCGGCGGTGGCGACGAAGGCCTCCCAGGAGGCCCAAAGAGGGGGAAGCGAGGCAAGGGCAGCGGTTATGGGCACCCTCTCCTCCTCTGGCCCCCCCCCCACACGAGCGGCGTGCGGGGATCCCTCGCGCGAGCAGCAGCCAGCGCAACCCCCCAGCTCCACCCGCTCCCACCTCGCCGCAGGCTCGAGGTCCCAGCGCCGGCCAACGGAGGGGGGGGGGTTGCGGAGCGCCCCGCTCGTGCTGCACAGAGCGGCGCGCGGGAGACGGCCCGGGGCGGGCGCGCAGAATGGCAGCGAGGACGGGTGGGAGGTACACGTCGGGTCCGTGCGGCGTCGGCACGCGCAAGCGCCCCGCTCGTGCACAGAGCGGCGCGCGGGAGACGGCCCGGGCGGGCGCGCAGAATGGCAGCGAGGACGGGTGGGAGGTACACGTCGGGTCCGTGCGGCGTCGGCACGCGCTAAAGTTTCTGACACCGCGTCGATCGTTCAACCTTGAACTAGTCGTGGCCCCGATCGTTCAAGGTTTGAATTTCGTCGGGCGTAACAGTGCTAGTTCCCTCGGTGCTTCCGCGTCGCAGAATTCAAGCTTGAACGCCTTCGCTTCGTTGGCGTCTCCAGCGCGCCAACGCCGCATGAACCTGCCGTATATTGGAGGCCTTGCACGTCATGTCAAAACCGAAGAAAGTGTCGGTCCAAAGTGGCCACTTGTCTGCCGCAGCCAGGAGGCCTAGACTTCAGGCGCCTGCGTGCCTGTCCCACGCCTTCCCTGCGTATCTGACGCTCCTCTTGCCTTTTTTCTCCTCCCCTTTCACAGACCCCCCTCCTCACCCCAGCGTCTGTTCCCTCGCCACTCCGAAGTTCCTTAGGCGGCGGTGCCGAGGAGCCTCGAACACCGCCTCGAAGCTGGAATACCGGAGGTTCGCGTACTTCTTCTCCGTCAGGAGCCTGCGCTGACGGGCTGCGGGCACCTCTACGAGCACTGCTCTCGGAGCGGACAAGGCCCCGACGAGTGCCACACGCAAGCTCGAAGCTCGACCCGCCCTACTGCAGCGCGGCCGCTGCGAAACTCGTGGGGATCTGATCTGATTCGCTCTGGTCATGCCCCTTGGAAACAACCTGGCGACAATAGCACCGCTCAGGCACCGCAATCGAATTCTTGGCCTCCCGTTGGCGAATCAACGGCATGTAACATAGCATCGTGGTTTCCGCTGAAGCCTCGAAAATGCCAGAACCAGGCCAACACGAATACTGACACAGAGGGAGCAAGTTGTCAAACGTCCTGGAATTGCTTTCATTCCCTTTGCTTTGAATTGGTGCACGTGGTTATACACTGAATTGCATGGCGTTTCGTTGTATCACGTTGCGCTACATGGCATTTTGTTCGTTACGTTGTGCTGCTGTGCATTGCATCAACTGCCTGGTGGCATGTTGATTAATATCGCTGTGCGCTGCAATGCCATCGTTTGCACTGGCGTGTCTTGGATCGCATTGCTGAGCATCCTTTGCACTGCCTCGCTCTGCACTTCATTATTGCATGTGCAGCTGCACGGCTCGGACTTCCACCATTTTTACTCTTCCTGATGGGGTATGAGCCCCTTGGTGCAAGAAAGCTGGTGGTGATCATGCAGAACTACTCAGGAGGGGATCCCACCAGCGTTGATCTTCCCTGTGCAAAGGAAGGCGGGCCCGTCGTGGACAGATGCGCGAGAGCGATCTGTCGCCGCACGTGTCCGATTAAGACATGCACGAGATGCTGGGTGCGGTTGTGATGGGCAGGCCGTGGATAGTTCAACTTCAAAATGTGTCGCGCGCGCTGGGCGACAACGACGGGGCGGCGCCCAGACAGACAGACAGGCAGACAGTACACTACAGTACAAGAAGGCACATATTGGCCAAAAGTGATGCGACAGCGACCGGTCGGGCCGAGACAGCGATACACATGACACAACACTCCCCCACACTGGTCCGCGTGGTGCGACGGCGACAAGGGGTGGCCAGACATATGGACAGAACAGAAGCGCACAGGTGGCCAACGGTGCGACGACGACCGGCGCGGCCGAGCCAGACACTCGTTTCTCAAGTTCCCCGCGCGCTGCGGCGGCGACAGGGGGAGTGGCCAGAGAGGTGGACCCAGCCTGCGGTGGGCTTACCACCGCTGCGACAGCCATTGGCGGTCCCAAGACAGAATCCCATCCCATGGCCTGCCCACGGCCTTTCCAAAGCCGACCCACGGCTCGCCCATGGCCTGTCCAAAGCCCTTCTGCGGCCTGCCCCTGGCCAGCCTTGGCCTGCCGCGGCGGCCTGGAGACGCCCCGACGACGGCCTCCGAAGGCCCCTGACGGTCCAGGATTGCCCCAAAGCGGCCCGAGAAGGCCCCTGAAGGCACTAAGGAGGCCCCCTGGGACCCCCTAAGATGACCACGGCACACGAGTTGAGACACAGAGGTCGTCGGAGGAGACCAGGACACAAGCCATGAGGCATGGGGCATGTCCCACGGGTCACCGCTTAGGGTCCACTCTGAGCCCCAAACCAGCATGGCGGCTATTCACCTGTGAGATATACAAAGCCGACACCCTGCGCGCGAACGCGCTGGCTGGCGCGCGGCGGGTTGCCAAGCGTTCGTGTAGTTTCCAAGCCAGCATGGCAGTTTGTGTAATCCTGCGCAACCAGAGAAAACACACGTGCCCGATTCCGAAAAACCCTGAACCCAAAGACGTTTTAATCTCTTGGGGGCGCATTCTTACTTCCGCCAAATTTCCGCCAGCTTCCGTCGGCGGAGGCGGCCTCGTGTTACTTCCGCCGCACTTCTGCCGCCCTTCCACCGCGGAAGGGATGACAACTCCTACGATCCTCGAAGGCCAGGCCCTTTCTGGAACGCCCCATGTGACCGTGGAAATTAAATCGGCCACCGCCAAAACGGACCACTTCAGTCTCCAGGCCAACAAGGCGGCTTTGCTATTGTATCGTGCACACAATTCCACACCCGCGCGCGCACGGTGGCGCGCACGGCGGGTGGCCAAGCGCTCATCCAATGTCCAAACCAACATGACGGCGTCCGTCTTCTCAACAGACCACAGAAAACCATGTGAACGTGGATATCCAATCGGTTACCGCTGAGACGCTCTCTTCTTTATGTGCACGCCAAGAGGCCGGTTTTCCAATTGTGGAGTGCACGAAATTCCACACCCGCGCGCGCACGCTGGCGCGGGCGGCGGGTGGCCAAGCGCTCGTGTGGCTTCCGGACAAGCACGACGGCTATTGTATCTGCACATCCAAACAAGACCGATGCCAACTTGGAAATCCAGTCGGCCACCGCTCAAGGACCACTTCCAGTTCCCCGGCCAGCATTGGCGGCTCTCTGGAGTTAAATGCACAAAAAGCCCACGCCCTCCCGAGCGCTGGGACACGCGGCGGGTGGCCAAGCGCTCACGTCGACTCCGGGCCTGGATGGCGGCGTCTCCACTCCAGCATAAGCAGGGAAGGCCATGTGAGCTTAGCAGTGTGGATGCTACGGCAGTGGACACTCGAACAACCCGTTCATTAAATTTAAGATGAATATAATTAAAAATGTGTAAAACATGTTCTAAACATGCTTCAGACTGGTTTGTTACATAAGCATCTGGAAATTACTTGGCAGCATGCTTCCTCTCCATTGATCGTCCTCCACAAACTCAGCACGTCAGTCTCCGAACCCACATGGCTGCGGTGGAAAACGCAGAACTCCGCACCCGCGCGCGCACGCTGGCGCGCACGGCGGGTGGCCAAACGCTCATCCGGCTTCTAAGCCAACATGACGGAGTCTGTGTTCCTACACACCCAAAGAGTACTCATGCCAACGTCGAAATTCAACGGGTTACCGCTGAGAGCTTCACTTCAGCTTCCAGGCCAACATGGCGGCGTTCCAATGGCGCCTGCTGGCGCGCACGACGGGTGGCTAAGCGATCATGTACAGCTCAACCCAACATGTCGGCTGTTTGCGTTCGCGCACAGCCAAGGACAACACATGATAACTTTGGAATCGAATATGATTTCAAAGATTTACTTCAGCTCCCAAGGCCAACATGGCCACTTGTTCACGCTGACGTTCATGCGCGCGGGCACGGTGGCGCTCACGCGGGCTCGCACGCTGGCGCCCCGAAGGCCTGGAACCCATCCCCAGAGCCAGAACGTTTCAGGGCTCGAAGGTGATAGAACGTTTGACACGTGTCACTACGAACACCGCGCGAGAAAAAACGATTGAGCGCCTATGGGGCCACTCATGGTAACACATGTGATTCCCAGATGGAGGAATTGGGCCCCCTGGACCTCCAGAACGGCTCCTTTGCGTCGTGACACATTGGAAGCTGGTTTCTGACACCGCGTCACTATTCAATATTGGACGATCTCCTGGATGGAGAGCTTCGATCCCTTAGAATTCCTAGACGGCCCATTCGTGTCTTGACGAGCTGGCAGCTGGTTTCTGACGCCGCGTGCGTCGTTCAATAGCGAACGATCTCCAGGATGGAGGACTTGGACCCCTTTTAAATCCCGGGCGCGGGTGGGATCGGGCACAATCTCCGCCAACCCTTCAAGGAATGAGTTATCTAGGGAGCTTCCATTTCCAACCCCCTGTTTTCTCTTCGGGTGCGCGTGTGTGAGTGTGTCTTTGTGTGTGTGTGTGTGCATCCCCTACCCCTTCACTAACGAGGGAAGGGCCTTCAGAACCGCCCGTGTTCCCCTGTGAAGCAGGTCGCCCCCTGTGAAGGCTACTCCTCCTCATCAGTCCTCCTCATCAGTCCTCCTCCTCACTCCCCCGTCCTCACCCTGATCCCTCCTCCCCACTCCACCGCACTCCCCCTCCCCCTCCTCACTCCTCCCCACTTCTCCTCCTCCTCTTTCCTCCTCCTCCTCCCCCTCCTCCTCCTCCTCCTCCCCCCTCCTCCTCCTCCCCCTCCCCTCCTCCTCCTCCTCCCTTCTCCCCCCTCCTCCTCCTCCTCCCCCTCCTCCTCCTCCTCCTCCTCTTCCTCCTCCTCCTCCTCCTCCTCCTCATCCTCCTCCTCCTCCCTCCCTCCCTCCTGTCCTGCAGCCGCTCGGTAACTTCCCTGGGCACTCATACACGCTTCGCGTAGGCCACTCTGAGGCCTTGCAGAGACGGGTCCGAAGCCTCGCAAGAGACCTTGAACTACGCGACAGCAGCCGCAAACGCCTTGCGATGACCAGCCAGGCGCCTCGGAGAAGCTTCGGAGAAGTCCTTGAGAATCCCACAGATACCAGACTGCTTACAAAAATGGAAAGCCATGCGTACTGGAGGACAGATGGTAGACAACAAACACACGCGCAGACAGGCTGGTGCGCCGGCGCCGGGGGTTGGGCAGACCGATGTACAAAACAACAGCGCACATGGCAGACGTTACGGTGCGACGGGGGAAGTACACACAGATAGACGGATAGACCACCACCAGCCAAGCCAAGCCGACGATCTGACGGCGCATGGGGCTTGAGCAAATAACTTAACAAAGAAACAACACACGTGGGAGACGCGTCGGTGCGACGGAGACCGAGTGCTCGCTGGACAGACGCAGCCGCCCGAGCCACACCGAGGGTGCGACGGCGAACGCCTGCTGAATGTTGGCAGAACAGGGGTTCCTTGCAGGCGGGGTCCTCTCATAGTGAGTCTGCATCGACTTGGGACATCGACTTGAATTGTAATGTGCCTCGGACCGTGCTATATCGGCAATGCATCGGCATCGAACCAGACCGGCTGCGCGAGGATGCACCACAATGCCTTGCAAGCATCGGGCCGCATCAGAATCGATACCGGGTAAGATAGATCGGATCGGAAATGGCCCTCAGGATTTCACCCTGTCCCTTCGGGGTTACTCGGGAGAGCTTCGCGGGTCCCCAAAGATATTCCTCGGGCTGTTATATCATGATGCATTGTGCTTCGCTACGCCATGATTTGATGTGCAATGCTGTGCCATTTGCACCATACGATGCAAGACAACGATCTGCACTACACATTGTGCCATATATAGTTGCGCGATGCTATGCGGTGACTTGGTATGCCACGCAATACTGCACCAAGCTATCATGTCGTGATGTGCCAGCTGGTGCTATGCTGTGCGTCGCCGTGCTCGTCGCGTAGCGTCTCGTGGCCTTGCTTCTGCGCTGGGTACGTTCGAGGGGGTAATCCCTTAAAAAGGGTGGAAGGAAGGCTAACCACGAAGAGCCCAACCAGAGATGCCAGGCGCCACTGGCCCCATCGCACAAAGTACGCCAGACAAGGCCTGCTTGGGGGAAGCTTCGCGCCGTTTCACGTCCTGGTACCCATTGCTGAAGAACGAGCTACGCGCAACAGCGCCGGCTTATCAGGAGTTCTATGCAGGGCGCCGTGCCTTCCCTCTCTTTCTGCGCCTCTATCTGTCTCTCTCACTCTCTCATCCTGTATTACTCTTCATGTCTTCTTGATTCCGCTGTTTTTTTCTCAGTCTCTCTCTCCCTCTATTTCAGTAGGCTTACCAAACCGCAGCCCAGACATCACATTCACACCCCACAGACGACTGAGCGCGTGAACTCCAAGCGAGCAGCATGATAGCATTTCCGCTCACGAGCGCCATCAAAGACTAGCTGCACCATGCACACCTTCACGCGACCCACGCACGGCGCAACCACGCAACACGACACGTGACCTCGCGGTGTGAGCTTCATCCCAGCCGCGTCCCGTCTAAACCCTAGGTCGCTAGCGGACGCAATGTCTTCTGCCACTGGCCGTCCTTCATGCACGGGCTGGGCCAGCCACTTGGGCTGGCCACACTTGTATCTTCGCAACTTCGCGCTAGACAGCTCGTCGAGCAGAGGTACAGCCGAGCCCCAGGACGTCTGTGAGCTTCTACCCTGCAGCCGACTGTCTTGAACTCGTTGTTCGACATCTCCGCAGCCCGAACATGCAACACACGATGGGACATCGACCCGCGCACTTTGGGACTTGACATGCAAACGCGTTGGCTAAACTTTCGCCTTGGAGTGGGTAACGCAGGAAGGCGAGAACATTAGAAAGGATCGGATTGGAATGTTCGTAATCGACAGATCAGTTTCCTGAAACATGTCTGCATTTCGGAGAAAAAAAGACCTAGAGATAATGCAAACGTCAATCACGACGAGACGATGATTCACTATTTTGGGCCTTACCAATCTCTACACTCTGGAATGTCTGGCTCCTCCCATGGCAAGGGCCGTTCTCGACCCATGGACCCCGCCAGTGGACCGTTGTAGTCGCAGACTACTTGCCAATCCTCGATCGTGGCTTCGAGATACTCATGCAAACTGTAGTTTGTTGTGGTGTAACTTTCGCTCGTCGTCGTGTGCCAACAGTACACCGGTGAACCCGGCTTCACGGTGTTGTCAGCCACCAGCCGGCACGCTGGGAACATCAAGTTCAGCTCCTCCAACTGCGAGAGGTCGTCGTGGAATGTCGTTCCACGTTGATCCATGAAAACCATGTTGACGCTGCGACACCCGTATTCCTCAACAAGGCGGGGGATAAGGTCCTTCACCTGGCCAATCCAAACTTCCACGATATGGGAGAGTCTGGCAATGTCAATCACATGCCGTGCAATGCAAGCATGAATAGGGTCGATCTCCATGGTTGTAATCCGGTTTGATCCCTGCAATCTGGAATCCTCAAACAAAATCGTCCCATCTGCATAGCCCTGTTGATACGCCAACTCCACCTGCCTGCCCATCCGGCATGCGGTGTAGCCGACAAAGGCTCCGAACTCGACCATGACCTTGTGCTCTGTGAGCGGTCGGCTCTGGATGTGGGAAGCAGGGAAGGTAAACATTCTCCACCCTCCTGGAAGAAAGCGGGGGTGGGTGGAGGGGAGCAGCAGGGGGACAGGAGGGAGTGTAGGGGGGAGAGCCTGGGCGAGGGGTGTGTGCGGCAGACCACCCTTCCCTGCTCCCCAAGATGGAGTGCGTCAGGATCTCAGACTTGTCGTCCCCTGCTACCTTCAGCCACTTGCCCAGACCCTGTGCGAACCTGTCGATCTCCCGGAGCACCCACTCGGCCGAGAGGCAGCGAGAACCACCCGTCCCACCAGCTTCCCCGAGGCGCGCCTCGAGGTGCTCGACCAGCAGGCCGAGCTTGCGGTACCCGGGGGGCAGCACGCCGTCCGGCGGCATGCCCAGCGAGAGCGGCAGCGGCACAGCCTCGTGGGGCGAAGATGTCGGGTCGGAGGGCTCCTCGTCCGCGAGCGCACTGGCCGCCGCGCTGGATGCTGCCGCCGACATCGCGAATGGCCGTCCGAGAGCGGGCAGCAAAGGAGCAGCAAACCGGTCTGTGCCAACATGGCTGCGTCTGGAAGGTGGCGGCGCCGATGATCACGACGACCCCTCGCCAACCTTGCTGCCATACAAGCTATGTCCGCGCACCGCGCACTGAACTTGTCGCTCAAGTAAGAAGCTCGCCGGTCTTCCGCAGTGTGGGTGCTCCTGCTCGCCTGATCGGTTATTTACAAAGGCAGTGCTGACAGCATTCTCCTGCCTTCTCACCCCTCCACATTCGTCTCTCTGCTCATCCTCTTCCTCCTGGCCCCCCTGCCCACCAACACGCACAATAACTATTGGCAGCAACGTATCTCGGAGCAGGGCGAGTCGAGACCACGGGAGCTAAATGTCGGTCCTTGGATCCCTCCTGGGGTCCAAACGCACCAGCTTTCCGAGCAGCGCCCTGCCGTGGCGATGAGGGGGCCTCCCGAAGACCAACTGGCTATCATTGTCTCACCTCGCCCTCCTATGAGTATCTGGCCTCAGCGCGACGGTCCTCCAGCGCTCGCGCACCCTTGCTGCGGCGCGCAGGTTCGTGCCTGGCCCGGTGGCTCACTTGGCGAAAAACTCGAAGGCCGCCTGCAGGACCGCCTGGTTCGTGGCGGCGTGGTCCTCCACCGCCGCCGAGAGGCACAGGCACCCCTTGTCTTGCTGGCAGAAGAACAGACAACGGCACAACCGTACACTTCCGGACGTCCGCGCAGACCTGGTGGACCGGCGCTGGAACCCCCTGTGGCGCGCGCAGCATGCCAGGGGTGGCGCCGGAGGCACCGCGTCAAGGGGGTCCAGCGCCGATCCAAGACATCCGCGCGGACCTCCGGAAACGTACCCCAGATTTCGTAAGAAAAGGGAGGGGGTCGCATCGCTCCCAGACGAGCAGTCTTAGACCCACCAAGACCACCCTAGAAAGGGCGGCCTTTTGCCCAGACCCTACCGGAGCCCTCCAAGACAACTCAAATTACATGCCCCCCCAATGTGACCTCCCCCAATTTCTCACGAAATCCTGAGTATGTTTATGCAGTTCTATCTTCTTCGAGCTGGGTCATCGGCTGGCCCAAGCTAATCCACATGCGCACGGGCGTGCCGAGTGGCTCCGAGCTGGGCACGTAGTTGACGCAGCGGGTGCCGTCCGCCAGGGCGCACCGCACCGGCGGTGGCAGCTCCTCGAGCGGCAGCACCCTCGCGTCGTGGTAGGAGTCCGTGAACACGATTCTGCGGATGCGGGCGGCCGCGTCCGTGGCCAGAGCCCGGGTGTTCACGTCGCTGCCGTGCTCCGCGCAGGCCAGGAAGTCGATCAGGCACCGGCCCCCGTTGCTGTGCGCAACGACGTCGATGGCGGCACTGGGCAAGCACCGACCCTCCACCACCGCCTTCCAAGCGTAGGCAACGTGGCGCATGGGGGTCTCGGAGCCACGGATCGGGCGGCCGTCTGCATGGTTGTCGTTGGGGTTGAGCACCAGGACCCCGTAGCCCCGTTCCACGGCGGTCCGCAGGTAGGGCAGCATGGTGCCCTGGTCCAGGCCCTTGTTGATGCACAGGGCGCAGCCCCAGACTCCCACGCGCACGCGGCCGCTGCCCTGGATCATGACGAGCACCTTCTGCGCCTTCTCGATCCCCTCGCTCGCGAACACCACGGTCTGCGGCTCCCCCTCCGCCGCATCTGTCGGCAGCGCCATCGGGACCAGCCCCGCCTCGTCCACGAGCAGCTTGCCGACGTAGCGCAAGACAGCGTCGGCCAACTTGTCGTAATGCGCTTGGTCGCGGAATTCGAACCCTCGGTCCGTGCCGACCTGCACAAGCCGCCCGTCCTTCAGAAGAAAAACAAAAAACGGCATACTTAAACATACGCTTTCCACGATCCGCGCGGATTTCTTGGATCTGCTCTGGACCTACCTCCCTGGCGCGGAGCGCGCCAGGGGCTGCGCTGGAGGCACCGCCAGGGGTGCCCAGCGCAGATCCAAAAATCCGCGTGGACTACCGAACGTTCATGCTTAATGCAATTTGTTGTCTTCGATCTCTGTTTTGTTTGTCCTGCTTCGCAGCGAGCTCTTCTGGAATACGAAGCAACGAGATAGGGCACAGGGAATAGATAAAAAGAACGAGACAGGTAAAGACAAAGACAAGGCACAGACAGAGAGGCTGTCTGTGCGTGTGCAGCGCGCAAGGCACAGAGAGACGGCGAGTGGTATCCAGCATGAGAAGCCACATAAGGATGGCGGAAGCAGAATAAGAGGAGAGGAAAAAGAGGAGAACCTGAATGAGGGACATGAGCGTGCAATCTCCGAACATATCCCATGAGGCCAAAACGACCAACGCCATTGCCTGCGCAAAGCACGAAGCGAGGAGGCGAGAGGAACGGGGAAATAACAAATAATAACACCAGCCGCACGCCTTGGAGTCGGCTGGAGGTCCTGAACTGGCTGGGACCCAGACCCAGAAACTCGGTCGTAGGGGGAGACGAGGCCAAATCCGTTCACAATCGGTCCCCAGACCACTCCCGGCGTCCATCTGATGCTACTTTTCATCCGGGATACGTTTTTGACGGTCCGGGCGCCCGAAAACAGCCACCGCAGGAAAAAAGGCAAAACAACCTTCCCGAACCCAGAGCCTCGAATCTGCACCCCGTTCCTGCGGGCAAAACGTCATAAACCTTTCCGAACCCAGAACCTCAAATCTACCCCCTTCCTGCTGGGCGGAGCGGGCGCTGGGCCACCTCCAACCCCCGACTCCAACGTCCTTGTGCTAGTACCCCATTCAGGGCCGCCAACCCCCCATCGCGCAAACACGAAGCGAAGAGGCGACACGAGGCGAGGGAACGGGGAAAATAGAGGCCTCCTAGGATGGGGTCGGAGGATCGCACCGCATCGCCGATGCATCAGCGATGCATCGGCGATGCATCGGCGACGTCGGCGGAGCTTCGGCGACGCCAGCGTGGAGAAAATCGTGTGCCGCATCGAGCTGCATCGGTGATGCGTCGGCGATGCGCCACGATCCTCCGACCTCACCTGCTCGCACCCCATCTGGGAGGCCCAGAGGAAAGGACGGGAGAAGCGCAAGCCGCCCGTCTGCACTGGGGAGACCCAAAGGTACTGATACCGCGACTCCCCGGACCTCTCCCGGGGTGCGTTCTGACCAGGAGTTCGAGGCGAATCCGACGGTGGCGACGAAGGCCTCCCCGGAGGCCGGCAGAGCGAAAAAGGGCCCAAGGGGCGGCGGCATGTATGGGCACCGCTTCCTCCCCATGACGTCCTTGTACTCGTACCCGAGGGCCGTCAGCTCCTCCATGGCGCCGCGGGCCCCCGCGGAGGGGCCGTGGCCCGCGGGGGCCCCGAGGCCGCTGCGGCAGGCCCCCGTGGCGACCTCGCGCCGCCGCGCCCCACCCAGCGCCGCACGGCCTCCGCGCTGCTGCGCCGCTCGGGGCCCGGATGCCCCCACAGGCGGCCTTCGCGCAGCTCGAGCCGGGCAGGAGGGGCCAGTTTTTGCCACCAGCAGCACCACCACCACCAGCACCACCAGCACCAGCACCAGCACCAGCACCAGCACCAGCACCAGCACCAGCACCAGCACCAGCACCAGCACCAGCACCAGCACCACCACCACCACTGCATTGAGCAGGACGGGGGAGAAGGGAGGATGGGAAGGTCTTCTCCTCTCCTCTTCCTTCTCCTCTCCTCCCTCCTCCTCCTCCTCCTCCTCTCCGCCTCCTCCTCCTCCTCCTCCTCCTCCTCCTCCGCCCTCCTCCTCCTCCTCCTCCTCCTCCTCCTTCTCCTCCTCCTCTCCTCCTCCTCCTCCTCCTCCTCCTCCTCCTGCTCCTCCTCCGACTGGAGCCTGTATGAAGGCCTGGACGGTTTCATCGTTTTTTTGATAACCACGATTCTCAGTTGTTAACACAGCTTCCAAAGAAATCACAGAAGTCAATTGAAACTACCAGAAACATACAAGTTGATAAAAAGCTAAAAGCAAGGTTTCGCCTGAGACATCTGTCAAGAAGTAATGGTGGAAGGCTGCTTCCTAAGGATGTCTCAAGCGAAACCTTGATTATTCGAGAATCCTTTGGATTTTCATTTCTTGGGGACTCCGACGGCCCGCGACAGTCTGGCGAGAAAAACAAAAAAACACTGGATTTTCAAAAAATCAGGTTTCGCTTGGGACACCCTCCAAACTTTCACTTTTCCCCTATTGGTTGTTGCCCGATGTCTCAAGCGAAACCTTGATTTTCAGTAAGGTTAAATCTAAAAATCAAGGATTCGCCTGAGACGTCTGTCAAAAAGTGATGGTGGAAGACTACTTTTCTGAGGATGTCTCAAGCGAAACCTTGATTATTCGAGAATCCTTTGGTTTTTCATTTCTGGGGAAATCCCCGGCACGAAAAAGTCCGGCGAAAAAAAAAAAACACTCGATTTTCAAAAAATCAGGGTTTCGCTTGAGACACCCTCCAAACTTTCACTTTTCCCCTATTGGTTTTTGCCCGATGTCTCAAGCGAAACCTTGATTTTCAGTAAGATTAAAGTCAAAACCAAGGTTTCGCCTGAGGCATCTGTCAAAAAGTGATGGTGGAAGGCTACTTTTCTGAGGATGTCTCAAGCGAAACCTTGATTATTTGATAATCCTTTGGATTGTCATTTCTGGGGAAATTCGACGGCCCGAGAAAGTCCGGCGAAAAAAAAAAAATCACTCGATTTTTTTTTTTAAACCAAGGTTTCGCTTGATACAACCTCCAAGCTTTCACTTTTCCCCTATTGGTTTTTGCCCGATGTCTCAGGCGAAACCTTGATTTTTAGATTTAACCTTATTGAAAATCAAGATTTCGCTTGGGACATCGGGCAAAAACCAATAGGGGAAAAGTGAAAGTTTGGAGGGTGTCTCAAGCGAAACCTTGGTTGTTTGAAAATCCACCGTTTTTTTGTTTGTTTCGCCGGACTTTCTCGGGCCGTCGCATTCCTCCAGAAAATGAAAATCCAAAGGATTCTCCACTAATCAAAGTTTCGCTTGAGACATCCTCAGAAAACCAACTTTCCACCATCACTTGTTGCCTGATGTCTCAAGCGAAACTTTGTTTTTAGATGTAACTTATTGAAAATCAAGGTTTCGCTTGCGACATCGGGCAAAAAACAATAGGGGAAAAGTGAAAATTTGGAGGGTGTCTCAAGCGAAACCTTGTCTTTTTAAAAATCCACCGGATTTTTTTTTTCGCCGGACTTGCTCGGGCCGTCGGATTCCCCCAGAAATGAAAATCCAAAGGATTCTCCACTAATCAAAGTTTCGCTTGAGACATCCTCAGAAAACCAACTTTCCACCATCCCTTTTTGCCTGATGTCTCAAGCGAAACCTTTGTTGTTTGAGGTGATCTGTACAACAATGAAGATTTCACCTCCTCCTCCTCATCCTCCTCCTCCTGATCCTCCTGTGCCTCATGATCCTTCTCCTCCTCCTCCTCATCCTCCTCCTCATTCTCATCATGCTGCTGCTCCTCCTCCTCTTCCTCCTCATGCTCCTCCTCCGCCTCCTCATCCTCCTCACCCTCCCCCTCCTCTTCCTCCTCATCCTTCCCTCCTCCTCCTCCCCGTCTCCTCCTCCTCCTCCGTCTCCTCCTCCGCCTCCTTCTCCTGAGCCACTTCATCCTCCTCCTCCTCATCCTCGTCCTCCTCCTCCTCATCCTCTGCATCCGCCAACTCCTTGTCCTCCTCCTCCTTCTCCTCCTCCTCCGCCTCCTCCTCCTCATTCTCG